ATATTCAGCTGGCTCTATAACTCTTTCTTATTGTCAGCCCTCGTTTTACGACACATTTGCGACAACCGCACAGGACTGTGCCAGTGCCAGGGATAAAAAGTAATGCATATGCATATGGTTTCCTGCAGCAGGACAGTGTTTGAAGGCAGACCGGAAGCGTTGGGATTAACTGGCCACTTGAACACGATTGACAGAAGCTCAAGTGGCAATTGTTTGTGGCATTTCACAAACCGACACGGAAGAGCTCATATAGTAGCTAATCGGCAGCCACTACTTCTAATCAAGGCACATTATCAGGCAGTGTACGTCAGTCAGTCAGTCTGTCAGCTCATCAGCTAGTTAGTCAGTAAATTTTGAGTCAAATAGAGATAAGAGAGCTGGTGTATCTCGACGCACTCAATCATTCGCACGTGCTTCGGCCACATTTTCGCTCCATTTGCCTTAAATGCAATTTGCATATTAAAGTCGGACGCCGACCGCTAGTTAAGTTGATTCCCCCCCTCCTTGCTGGCTAACACAAAAATATTTGTGGCTACATTTGTTACGAACTTTTACGCTGGCCTCCCGACTCGGAGTGCACTCGGGTCACGTTTCTGATATTTCATTCAATCAAAACAAATTGCTGCTGCCTGCAAGGTTTTTAGTTAAATAAATAAGGCTCCTAAAAAATTGCGATAGGCCAAATGAGTTGTTGGCTTTGCTCTTGTGGCAGGTCCAAAGGAATGCTCGTTAAATGTGGACGCTCGTAAAAAAATTAGATTAGGCATAAAAAATGTTACTCAATTAAGTTGTGAGTGTGTGTGTGTGTGTAAAAAGTTTAATAACTGTTTGTCATAAAAACATCAAAATGAACTTATTTCTTTCTTATTATAGTATATGTATGTATATTTTGCTATAATTTATGAGTCTTGTTGCTTGCACCTTCGCATTATTTTGCACTTTTCTTAATTAGCCATGCCTGTCAGCTCTACTCAATGCCATTAATAGAGCTCCCCTTGTCCCCCATACAGCTCATTTAATAAGCCATTGCCATAAAAAAGTTCACTAATACTGCCACAACTCAGCCGTTGTGTCTAAGCCATTAAAAAATTAATTGCTGCTTCCTTTTCGGCCACAGTAAACGCCCCAAACATCGCTCCTATTCCTACGATAAATGGAGCTTTTAGCTCGTAGCTAAACACTCATTCTTTTGATGCTCTACCAACAGCAATAGCTGAAGAAAAAAGGGCGCGCCAAGTCCCACCAAGTCGCCAAAGTTGCCGAAAGCTAAACACAAAAGCAAAGCTAGGCAGCAGGGAAAATTGCGGGAAAACGTTTAAATTTGCTACACGCTCCTAATTTTGCTTTTATTGTCTGGCATTATTATTTGTTTTTTTTTTTTTTGTTTTTCTGTTTTGTTTCACTCGTCCGCCAATTGCTTGACCTTTTGCCCACCTCTGCTGACGTCGCAACGTCGTTGTTGTCGTCGTTGTTGTTGTTGTTGTAAGCACTTCTAATTGTGACGCGAACACGAGGCTGTCTCTCCAACTGACGCCCTTTGAACTTTGCCAGCAAGTTGAACAGACAGCGCACAAAACTTGATCTCAATTGCGTTTGGAGTGGATTGCAGTCAAAACTATAAAGCTGATACTCTCTCGAAGCAGAGAGAGAGAGAGAGAGAGAACAAATGGGCTGTAAAGTAATTAAGGAAAGAGTTCTTTAGGTTCGTTTTTTAAAGTCCGCATAACTTTTTAGCAACGATAAAGGAAACTACCATCAGTTCTTGATTCGGTTCTGAAATTCATACATTTTCGTTTAATTGAAATGTTGACTGTCTAATTTGATTGATCCATGAGTCTCTGGAGGATAATTAAGAGTTTATTGATGTTTTTAGATGTAAAAAAGATTTTACATATTAAGCCTGCTAGAAAAATTCCATTTTTCCAGTTAATACCGATCTTAATTTTAACAGCAGTCTGACAAACGAAAAAGCAAACTTTTTAAGAAAAGAAATAGTTCACATCAATATAAACCTACTCAAGACACTTACATATTTTTGCAACCCCACATTGAGAAGCCCTTAATAATTAAGTGGTGGCTCATCAACTAAATTATAAAAAAGAAAACACTGAGTAAATGGTTTCTAGTCAACTAAGTAGTAATCTGTATGATATTGTTACAACAGTATAATATATTAATTTTTTAATTTTCTGCACTGACTATTTCTATAGAATGTTCCTTCCAACTCAGTCCTTTCTGTGATCTGTTGATCTAAGAACAGTCAAAATAGTCATAACGTTTAAGTATTATTGATAATGCCTTCAAGATTCTTCCGAACTTTAAAATTTATTTCTTCTATAGAAGAAAGATAACTTCATTAACAAAGAAAATACTATATATCTCGGAATTTATGTAATTTAAACTTTTCAATTATTTATTTTCTCGGTGAAGTTGTTCTATAGAAGTTAAGTGGAAATTGAATATTTAGCTTAAAATGTTTTAAATGTAGCGTAAAGAATGTTACTGGCTTAATGGGCGAGGCAGTCGACATCAATGAGTCTAAGAACAATTTGGGTAAGAAAATAGGTGGAACGGAGAGTTAATTAAATTTTATAAAACATTCTTTTTTAGAAACAAAAACATCAATCTAGCTGCTCACAAATTAAACTGCAAAATATCAAATTTTAGTCTAATAATCTAAGTATTAAATTATGAAGAGCTTAGGCAAAGCTCTTTTGTGAGATAATCAGTCGTTTCCTTACATAACTCAAAGCTCTACATTTCTATAGTGTATGTCACCTTCGATGCAACCAAAAAAAGGCAATTTTTTGCAATTTATCGTTCGCTTCATTTTAGATTTTTGTTTTGTACGATTTGACATGTGGGTGGAACAGCGCGCGCAAAAAAAGCAAATAAAATCGGGAAACTGACGCAAACTGCTAATTTTATTACTTTCCAATTATATTGAGCTGCCACCATATACTATACTACCTATGTATGTATAAAAAAATATATTGTAGACAACGTGAACTGACGTAATCGCTTGCTCGCTACTGCTGGTAGTAGGTGGCAGATTAGATAAAGTGAGCGATTGAATGAATGAATGAGTGTGAACATGCGTGACCAGGTCGACGATTTCCGGTCTGGGAAACCTGACCTTCCGGCCGGCACAAATCAATTGATTACAATTTGCAGCGTCCAGTGAATCATCGTTCATTAAGATAAGTCAAAGGTTTGCCATTGAAATGAAAAGAATGCCAAGTGGCGAGCCGTTGTGGAAGGAAAGCTCTCTCTGTCGCCTCCATGTCATACACTTACTTAGTTATGTACGTACTCGTATGTCTTGCCGAGAAGTAATGAAAATAATAACAACACAAAAAGCAGAGCCACGCAGATTTTCTGCCTTTTTATTTTATGAATGGAGACGGAGCTGAAATTCTTTGCATAAATGCAAACGCAGCGAATGTGTTTTTGCGACCCGCTCGCATAAAATGCCTGCCACTTGGCAAAATTTTAATGAGTTGGAAATTTAATACTCTTCCAACCAGCCAACCAGCCAACCAGCCAGCAAGCCAGTCATCGAGGCAGCCAGACGACCAACGTGGCTCGTGGGGGGAGAATTGAGAATCGCCTGTGACTGTGGTAGGTCGCCGCACATAATGGTCGGCTTGTCTGCCGTTGCCATATTTGCGAGGCCAGACGCGCATTCAGGCGCATACAATTCAATTTTTTTCAGTGCTCGAAATTTAAATTTGCATTTAATTGAAAAATTAATGAGAATTTTGCGCCCACTGTGCAAGTGCACTTCAGGAAAAGTAACTTCAAAGTAAACTGGTAAACTGACAAACGGAAAAAAAAAACTGACGACTAGTCGGCTTAGAGTTGTTCCCCCGTAGTTCAGTGGATCAGTGTCCTAACTTTAACTTCCATGGTGTCGCAATTAGGACTATCTAGTGAAATAAAAAGATACTCTAAAGAACGAAAAGTGATATGATTTTAATTTTAAAATAAGAATTATCGCATTGGGGAAGACTTTAAAGTAGCTTTGAGTATCCACTACAAATGAGGAAAATGGGCTTCGACTTTTGCATGAAAAATGCGCATTTGTCATCTGATTGACTTCAAACTTGGTTTTAATACTTTAAGAAGTGGCAGTTCTCTGATGGAACTGGCTGATAGAAAATTACTTTGCTAAGTTATTCTAAATGTTGAAATTTAATATAATACGAAATAATGGATTTGAGTCTTCTTATGATATACCCATAAGAAGACTCAAATGTTCATATTATAATATATAATATATAATCCGAATCGCCTGACATTCTTATTCGTATATCCTTCCAGAGGAAATTTAATACAATACGAAATAGATAAATAATAATAGCTTGATTATATATAATAATGTGAAAGTTTGAGTCGTGTTATGGGTATATGAATCCAAATCGCCCCATTCACATCTCCTCCCAGAGCAGAACAACATATCCGATCATCGTAGCTGCAATAGTATTTCCAAACAGTAGTTCCCCCTTTGGGCTACACCGACACCATTCGCACTGCAGGGTCGTTAGTCATTTACTAAGATGGTTGTACGTGCGTCTGTGTATGTGTGTGGAAGCGCTCGTCTAGAAAGAAAAATTAGTTTTAAATGGGTTTTTATTTTAGTTTGTAGGTATAGTGTGTGATCTCACCTTGAACTTGACTTCCGTGACAGATTGTGACTGGCGGGTAAGTCGACAGCGGCAACGTCGTTTGATTTTACAATGAAAACACTTACTTACTATAAAAACTAATTCTCCATATCAGCAGTTGAGTTTGCCGCGCATTATTGTTTATATTTGTGCTTCCGTTGGGTCTGGTCTGGTCAGGCCAGACCAAGCCACATCCATCTCCAGACTTGTGTGCACAATGCGCAGTTTCTCTTTAAGATAAATTTCCAAGTTCTGACAGTTGTGGATTTCTTTTATGTATTTTTAGAAACTTTTTTATTAATTTATGCACTTTTCTTCTCTATTTCTTTGCAGCTGCGACAACGACAAATTGACGAGAATTATAATTAAAACGATAGCGGATATGTAAGTTGAAAATTCGAAGCTTAACCCATATTCCACACATCCCCGGTTTATTGTCACAATTAGGCAAAAAGACGTGACACTTGCCACTAATTCCGTTTTAAGCCAAATCTCTGTTTCATTATCGTTGTGGCGTCACATGATGTGCTCTGAACTAGAAACAGAAACTTAAATTCCGTTTATGGCTCTAATAATAATTAGCGAAGCTCTGTTGACTTGCCAAAAAGTCGTAAAAAGTTGAAACGTGCACTTTGTTTTTGTTTTGCCAGAGAGTTGGCCATTTCAGTCTCTGTCTAGCTACTAATTGGAATTTAACTTTTGCTAAAATTTATGAGGATACTACTGAGCATTGTATTTGTGTAGACTATATGTGTGGGTATATAGTTCTGAAGTTTCTTACCTGTTACGTGCCTTTTAAATGCAATTTGAAATTCTCAGAATTTCTGAATGCCTTATTCAAAAGTAATCTCTCTATAAAGGTTGTACATGCTTCGACCGTTGCATAGCATTTGATTTATTAGTTGTTTATCAGGCAATATATTATGTTTTATATACATACATACGAGAATTGTATTGTATTTTTTTCTATAACATTTAACTTAACAAATTTCGTCTTGAACACGTACAAGTGTGTGTGTGTTTTTCATTTTTTTGTTGATTTTTGTGTACCCTGGGAAATTCTTTTGTTTTTAAAGCGCGCCATAAATTCGTTGTGCATGCCTTAATAATGCCTTTTCTTATCGATTAGTCATTTTATTTGTATAATGTGTGTACTGATAAAAATTGCTTAGATTAGAGCAAGAAAAAGCTCTTTAAAAAGTATATAAATACGAGTATGTATTGCTATTTTCTTTGCATGATGCAGATGTAAAAATATTCGGCCCCATTTCCGCTTCCAGTTGCAATGAAACTTGGCGAAATTGTTAAAAAAAAACTGTGCTCGAAGTTTGTTTAATTTTTTTGATAGAGAATCTTTTTACAAAAGAGTTTAAAACACCTGGAAAACTAAAAGTATGCTGTTTTTAAGTCAATTGTATTAATGGAAATTGGGAACAAGCTGCTTTGTAAGACTAAAATGCAATATTCCCATTGCATGCATTTACTTTTTTTTATTTTATTACAGTTTAACGTTATGAAATATTTTCTCAGTTATCATAGAATCGCAATTTTGTACTTGAAGCACCAATTTCCTATTGAAAATAATGATAATAATTATCTGCAAGGTATATTTATAACAATGGACGGACATTGTTCCAAATTTTTCATTTACCATTTCTTTTTAAAATAGAACTATGTCCATTTATAATCAGATAACTGTTAAATAAACATCACAAGGCTATATACTAAGGCATTAGCGGCATTTACGTAAGTTTTTATGAGAAGAATAATCTGTAAAGAAGCTTTTTAGCAACTGCAATGCTAGAGTGGCTTCAATTTTATGGTTCTATTGATATCGTAATCGAATTAAGTACTTATCGTTATCACCAATTGGAAATTTTATTAATAAGAGGCACTTTTGTTTTTTTTTCTCTTTTGACTATCGTAAAAATAAAGCTGATTAACATTGCAACATCTCATGAACATTGAACTTAGCCTTATGATTGACTGCAGTCGGCAATAAAAAGCATACTTCTCACACTTATATGTAGTAAGTCGTCCGTTCTTCCGTCTGTCTGTTCGACTGTATGAACCCTAGTATATTAAAAACTGTAGAAGCTACAACTAACAAACTTTGGTTTCTGCCTCATTATATTTTGGTATAATATTTAACCGTTTATTACAACGCAGGGAGAATTTGCTGAAAAGTTGATATTTTCACACTTTATGACCCCGTCTAAAATTGGAGTTGAATTTGCTTTAAAAAACTCAACAGCTGCGCAGTATTTATCATATGTTCACAACACTTAAGGTATACCCAACAATTTTATGAATATACAATTCTTAAACATATATGTATTAATACAGCTCTCACGTTAATGTCATTCTGTTTATGCATTCATTGTCATTGCGCTTAAGCGATAAGTGCCAGAAATATTGAGCAATGTTTGCCATATTAACCAAATAAGTACGAAATATGGATATAAAGTATATGTACCTCGCCATATGTTTCAGCTTTATATGTAAAGATGGGCGATACTTTACGAGCTCCGCAACTTTTGCTAAATTGAGTCAGGCATGAGACTGCATTTAGTTGTTACTCAACAACAATAACTGCAACAACAACAACAACAACCATAAAGTACCTGAATAATTCCCAGTACTTGTGCGTCGCACAATAAACAAGATAAACATCCATATACTATACGAACACATACAATAATAATTTGCAAATAACCGTAAATGAAGCTTTTAGCAACACGTTGAATAAAATGACTGACGGGCTGTTTGTCTGTCTGTCCGTCCGTCCGTCTGTCCGTCTGCCGTTCGGACTGTCTTTCTGTTTGTCAGAGAATCGCGGGCGTCGCCGCTCAATGGAAGGTACGCGATTCTGTGGAAACTGACTTTGAGAGGCGAACGAGGTGCGCTCTCATGTGACCCCGACATGACGACAAAGCACAAACGATTTCTATACATTCTATATGGTGGGAACAAAACTGACAGATATCTAAATGATATGGGCACAAAAATAATGATGATGATAATCATAATGCTGATGGTGTGCTGTTTATTTTAATGATGACGACAACTTCGTTGAAGTTGCATTCGGCAAAATAAGTATTGAATGTGTTTCTAAAGCTTAACTTAATTACTAAGCTTGTATAAAAATTAATATATGTATATATTTTTTTAATGACATCATGCGCGAGCGAACTGCATTGCGAGGAAATCATTTTTCATTGCCAAGCATTTAAATTTAATTCACTTATACAGTTGTTATTTTTTTGTTTTTGTTTTTATAACTGCTACTATTCTTCTTCTTGTTCTCTTTTGCTGTTGTTGTTGTTGTTGTGCGCTTCCATTATTAATTAAAAGCTTGGCTCATTTGCCTGTTTTATTTTCGCAAAGATTAATTAAAGGTTTCATTTCAGACCCGCACAATGATTTATGAATTCGTTTAAACAAAGGTTTGGGAGCTCTCGTCTGGCCGCGGGCGATGTACACGCATATATACATAAATATATATGTATATATGTATGTGTATGTACATCGATAGTGGCATTATTTTAATATCAAATACCACATGCCTGCAGGGGTGCGCCATCCTTCGTACTATACTCCAGTAAATACTTATTTTTTAGCATGCTTAGCGCTTTTAATGCCGGCATTTAATTTATCTACAAATCCAATTTGTTTGCCAGTTATTTTATTTTATTGGCTAACAAATGTGCGTGCCGATTTATTATTTGATCGGCTCTATGCAAACATTGTTTTCATATTTTATTTAGTGCAAATATTATTTAATATTTAAGCGGCTTTATTTGTTTAGAAAAAGTCAAAAATACACTCCCAAAAAAATAATGCAAAATGTTTATATTTTTTATATATATATATTAAAAACTTTATTTAGTGACATTTGGTTAATAGGCCGTTAGTCGACCTTAGGCCTCTGATAGATTTCGAAACCCGATTGTATGCCCGATTGTTTGTGATATAGTAATGTTGAAATACCCTTGTATTGTTTCTTTTATTTCAATGCATGTTAGGAATGGAAGATAATGAAATATGTGTTATCCATTGTTGATATAAGTCGCTCATCATTTGTTAGGTAAGGTTAAGTTAGTTAATTGAGATGGATGGAGTGTTCGTGCTGTAATTAACTTGCTTTTTATTGGTCTTCTAATGTATTTGACTCATTTCATAATTTTTAGCTTTAGTTCTTCTGTGAGATGATTTAGATAGGGTTGCACTTATAGCAAGTATATATGTATCAAATAAAATAATACAAATATCAGTGAGAAATAGGACCAGCAATATTGTTAATCTCCTATTTAAACACATTTCAAACACACGCTTGCTTAATTAAAAAAGTTACGAAAATATTGTAAGAAACTGTAATTAGAAGAAATATGCATAATCTGTGAAAAAAAAAAAACATAATTGCGAGGTTCCCGGAAATTATTTAGAAATATTGGCGGTCTTGTAATTTGCAGTGCATAATCATCGATTTTTTTGTAAGTGTAATGAATATTTTTTGTGGCACTCCAATTGAATTACGCGACGCGTGTCTGCAGACAGACCGCAAATATTTGCCACAGGTGCAACAGCTTTGGTTGAACACATTTGCATTTTGGTCGCGTCAATTCACAAACCTACAGCGAGATATAAAAAATACAAAAAATTAGTGTACATTGGCAACAACATTATACTTATATTTCATTCTTTTTTTTGCAACAGTTGCGTAGCTGGTTAAAAAAAAAAAACAGAGGCCCACTATAGGGGCAGAGCGACTAAGCCGGCTTTGAAATTGGGTTAAACAACTTGTCCGACTGACTCTGACTGCATTGCAACAGACACCGCCAACAGAAGACAGTCCGCCAACCAGATTTTGTTTCACTTTTTTTGCTCAATGAAAATGAAAGCGAGCTCAGAATTGAAGCTTTAACACAACAACAACAACAACAAAGGCAAGTAGGCTGATTGTCCGATTTGACGCACCGAGCTAACTTGGCCATTTGCTAGACACTAGACATTTTCGCCCGCCTGGCTGCCTGCTAGCCGCAATTTGTTTGGCCACCAGCTTGTGAAAGTGAAATCTTGGCCGTTATCTTTGGCGGCCGACACGACACCAGCCAATACTACGAACACAACACTGATGCTTAAGCAGCACTTGCGTTTTGCTCATTACAACAAATTTGTTTATATTTTTCGCTTTATGTTTATCTTTTCGGGCTGTAGAAACTCTATGCTGGGCGTAGCAATCAGTGGCGGCCTTTGTGTTGCCAGCGTGGGAGCATTTTGGGGCGCGATAAATGCAGCATAATTTGTCAAATTACAGTTGAACTCACTGTGATTAGAGCTATTTCAAAAATGCACAAGAAGAGCAACAATAACACAACAACTAT